CCGAGCCCGGGGGGAAACTTTGGCGTCGTTGCGCCGGGTGTTGGAAGCGGAGGCTGGCGGGGGCCCCTCACCTGCAAAACCTGGTCGCCTCTCATATATTTCGTGCATTGCATTCATCGCCCACTTTCTCCTCCAAGGAGCTCCCGGGGGCGCGCGTGGTTCTCCCCGTGTTATCCTCGCAACAACAGCCCTGCGAGGTGGGTCAGGCGAGTGGCCCAAGGGAGCACCCAGGGATTGTCCTGGCCAGGTGGGGTGATTTGAACCCTGCTCTCTGCCCGGTCTTCGTCCTCATTTAGCCCCCACATGTGCATGACTGTGCATGACTGAGGTTTTCCCCCCTCGTCTTGGCTATGGTGTGAGTCTGTGCTGTTAATTAATGGGGTTCTGCCTTCGGAAAAGATGAGCCAGCCCTCAAGGAGGTGATTATGTAATTTGCTAGCAATTCATGTCCCTCCCGGCGTGACGCTGCGCGCTGACGTCACGGGGCTGTAATGGTGGTGTGCCTCGAGATTTTTTTCATGAAACAAGTGTGCCTTTGCCCAAAAAAAGGTTGGGAAACACTGTTCTAGAGCATCACTGCTGTATCATTGTTACAACACTGACATGTCACAAAAGGGGAGGGGTAGACAGGGGTTACACTAGTTTAACCTTGACAAACATGTCCAGACAAGTCCTTGGTACAAGATTAGCATAAGCAGACATGTCAGGGCAAGACTCGGGTATAAGATTAGCATAGGCAAACACCTCTGAAGTCCCATCACCAAAGTACAATAGAACTTCCTTTGCATGTCTGGCCCCTTGGCAAGTTTGGTGATGGGATTAGGCTTTCCTTGGCCCAGCTCAGCAATTCTCACCCCTGGACACTTCCTGGAGTCCTTTTTCAAGGGGGAAATAGGTTATTTTTAAAGCTAGGTAACTTCCCTGAGCTGTCAAGTTGAAAGGATACATTCAGGCATAATATTTGTAACATTTAACAACTTTAAAGATGTGCTCGCTCCCCCCCCCAAATTTCCATAACATGAGAAATCTCTATGTGGGACAAGAAGCTACAGTTAGAACTGGATATGGAACAACTGATTGGTTCAAAATTGGGAAAGAGTATGACAAGGCTGTATATTGTCTCCCGGCTTATTTAATTTATATGCGGAATTCAACATGTGAAAGGCTGGAGTGGGTGAATCCCAAGCCAGAATTAAGATTGCTGGAAGAAATATCAACAACCTCAGTTATGCAGATGCCACAACCTTGATGGCAGAAAGTGAGGAGGAATTAAAGAACCTCTTAATGAGAGTGAAAAAGGAGAGCGCAAAATTTGGTCTGAAGCTCGTCATCATAAAAACGAAGATCATGGCCATTGGACCCATCACCTCCTGGCAAATAGAAGGGGAAGAAATGGAGGCAGTGAGAGATTTTACTTTCTTGGGCTCCATAATCACTGCAGATGGTGACAGCAGCCACAAAATTAAAAAGTACCTGCTTCTTGGGGGAAAAGCAATGACAAACCTAGGCAGCATCTTTAATTCTTTAATTCTTTAATTCTTTATTTACGGCTATTAGCCCATAAAATATGTACAAACATAAAAAACACAGAGGCATATGGACCGATATATTCAACACCAAAGGGTGAACATCACGGTACTAGGGTGGGTCAATGAGCAGAGCCAAATAACAGCTTGGGGCCCAGAGAGCTCCAAGGGACGGATCACAGAAAAAGAAACTGAAGACGAGGTCCGACATGCACTCTCATCGTAACTGTCCGATTAGTTTTGGTGTTGTTGTTGTTTTTTAGTTGTTTTTGTGTGTGAGATAACCGCGTTCAGGAATCTCGCCACCTGCAGAGTTACCGAGGGATCTGTATCCTGCAAAAGTAGTGCGGCGTGTGACTCAACAGGCCGGCCCACCAAGCACAGTAGAGCAGGACCTAGGAATTTAGTCCTGGCTATGCTATGTAGGGGGCAGTTGAACATTATATGTGGAAGAGATTCAACAGTTTTCCCGTCACACACGCATAACGGAGACACCAAACCCTTAGAAAATCTGTGGCTCAGCAGGTTCGATGGAAGGACATTGAACCTTGCACGAATAAATGCAAGTCGGTGTGGTACAGATGAAAGAGATGACATGTATGATGGAAGGCCAAGTGGTGGGGTTATTCCGTGATACCTGGGGGAGCAAACACCCCCACCCCAAGCCAGGTTGTGTTGATATTCAATGTCTGCTAATCTTTGCTCTATAAGGCTTTTGGCTGAGCATAAGTTCATCTTTAGGGAGTCCGCTGGAGAAATTCCGATGCTCAGGAGTTTGGCATGGATTTTTCCTACCCACGGATTGACAAAGTCATCTCGCCAGAGGCACTGAAAAAGGTAATGGTCGGGAAGCCTATGCCAGCTGGACAGCCAGTAGCCAAAGACTCGCTTCCAGATGACGGTCTCCAATGATGCAATCCTTAACTCCAAACGTATGGCTGCGTTGCTCACACACATGGGGAGTTTCAGGAGGTGACGGAGAAACTGATTCTGCAATGTCCCAAGCGATGTTAAATTGGACCCTGGGGCCCAGAGGCAGCATCTTAAAAAGCAGAGACATCACCTTGCCAACAAAGGTCCGTATAGTAAAAGCTATGGTTTTCCCAGTAGTGATGTATGGAAGTGAGAGCTGGACCATAAAGAAGGCTGATCGCCAAAGAATTGATGCTTTTGAATTATGGTGCTGGAGGAGACTCTTGAAAGTCCCATGGACTTCAAGAAGATCAAACCTCTCCATTCTGAAGGAAATCAGGCCTGGGTGCTCAGTGGAAGGACAGATCGTGCAGCTGAGGCTCCAATACTTTGGCCACCTCATGAGAAGAGAAGACTCCCTGGAAAAGACCCCCCTGATGTTGGGAAAGATGGAGGGCACAAGGAGAAGGGGATGACAGAGGACGAGATGATTGGGCAGTGTCCTCACAGCTACGAACATGAGTTTGACCAAGCTGTGGGAGGCAGTGGAAGACAGGAGTGCCTGGCGTGCTCTGGTCCATGGGGTCATGAAGAATCGGACACAAATAAACGACTAAACAACAACAGACTTGCCAAATGAACCTTATATTGGCCTGTTTGACAAGACCAGCTGCCATGCTTGAGTTGTTTTTTTTTTGGGAGGGAGGCTTAAGCATCATTTTGGGAGGCAGCAAACGGTGAGCTTTAAGAACTGTGGAGTCTGTTATCTGTCACATGAGAAACAAGGCCTGATTCCCGCCCCTGCCCCTTAATCCTCTCTAGCTATTTGTTGATCCATCAACCCTGATGGAGCTAAAAATATTCCTAGTTCCCCGAATTCCTGTCAAAACTGTCCCAAGGTGGTGTCAACCATAAATTTTCCCTACTATTTTGAAGACATCTGACAAATTGATTCAAATCAACATTCATAAGCTCTGGCAGACTGTTTCTGAACTGGGAGGCATTGGCTGGTTCCTGTCACCTGACAGCTGGAGGTTTCCAGAGAGAGAGTGCAGAGTGCTGAGGAACCAGATGCTGAGACTTCAGCTAGAGTTCAACAACACAGGTGCTTGCTATATGCAATTTGGAGACAAAGAATCTTTTATTTTCAGTCAGATTCAGAACTATTTCCTGTCTTCTTACCTATGAATTACATTTCTGTTCCACACTCCCCTCATCAAGCCCACCACAAGATATATTGCTTTCACGCACACAGCAACCCTGCGAGGGAGGTTTCGCATAAAGATGGTGACCAGCTTTAAGTCACCCAATCAGCTTCACGACTGAGGAGGGATTTGAATTGTCCCCGGCATTTGTGACCTCGATCCTTGGACTTCAGCTCCCATGAGCCCCAACCAGCGTGGCCAATGGCTAAAGAAGACGTGAGTTGCAATTTCACATCATCTGGATGGGCCACAGGTTGCCCAACAGGTCTGTTTTCAGCGCCTTCACCTTCTCCTGGCGCAGCTGCCCTTGGAACTCCCTTGTACTGAATGTGCTTTTGTCCTGTGATGCCTCTGCAGGTTGGCCTTCTTCAGGACGGAGAGGGCCTCACCACAAATGAGGCACACGGGCATGCCTTTCAGCTCCACAAAGAAATAGTCGTGTGTCCATCTTTTTTGAAAATGCCACACTCCAAATCTATCTTCCTCTTCTTGTGGAAACATTGATTGTGCCCAGAAACAGACAATTAGGCAGATGGAGCTGTTCTAATATGGGAGTCCTATGCTGCCTATAGCCAGCCCTGGTCAGCAAAGTGTCTGCAGCTCTTTGAGCCATTGAAGTTTCTGAGCTCTTCTCAAAGGCAGCCCCAGGTAGAGTGTGTTAAAGTAACTCCTACGCAATGTGGCATCAGCTTACTTTCTTTTTTTGTAATTATCTGTTTGTTTTAAATTCTATAGCTTAAATTCTCTTGATGGTTGTTTTTTTGAGAAGGGCCTCTTACGGTCACAAAGCAATGATTTTCGGTGCAGCTCCATAACACTGATTGCGCCCTCACACTACCCCTTTTGGTGTGGGGATTTGGATCCAGAAAAGGATCCAAAGACAGGGAAAGGTTAAGCAGAATCCCACCCACCCCCCGCGCCACCCTTAGGTGTGCTCAGCCTTCACCTGCTTCATAACTCCACCTTGCATGAAAAGGCAGGATGGAGCTGCAGGAAACAGGAAGTGGTCCTTCAACCGGCCACGACATCTCACCATCACAGACAGATACAGTCTCCTGCTGTGGATTAAGGAGTGGCCCAGGGATGGCAGAGACAGGAGGGGAAGGGCCCAGGGGAAGGGGAAGCGACAGAAGGGATGGCAGGGCTCCAGATGCTCCCTTGGACACCTCCCTTGACACCAAGGGGAGCTCCTCTTCTAGGGCTGAAAGCATTGGCGTGGTTTGATTTTGTCAGTATTGCAAGGAAGCATAGAAGGAAAGGTAAAAAACACCTAAGCGGTTTATTAAAGTTTATTAAAGTATCTGTGGATTTTCCCCTGTGTGAGATTGTTGGTGTCTTCTATGTTTCCCACTTTCACTGAAGCTCTTTCCACATTCCACACATTTAAATGGTTTCTCCCCTGTGTGAGTTCGTTGGTGTATTCTAAGTGCTCCATAGTGACTGTAGCTCTTTCCACATTCAATACATTTTAATGGTTTCTCCCCTGTATGAGTTCGTTGATGTATTCTAAGTGCTCCACTATCACTGAAGCTCTTTCCACATTCAATACATTTAAATGATTTCTCCCCTGTGTGAGTTCGTTGGTGTACTCTAAGTGTTCCACTTTTGCTGAAACTCTTTCCACAGTCAAAACATTCAAATCGTTTCTCCCCCGTATGAGTTCGTTGATGTATTCTAGGTTTTCCACTTTCACTGAAGCTCTTTCCACATTCCGTAAATTCAGATAGTTTCTCTCCTTTTTGAGTTTGTTGTTGTATCCTCAATTTCTTTGTTCTTTCGCATAAATTCACATGTGGCTCCATAGAATTCTGACTTTCATCTTCCTCACGTGTTTGGGAGCCTGGGAGGAAAGAGAATCCTGGTAGACTTTCAAGAAAGACAAAAAGGGAACTGAACACCTGTCAATCCCAATCTGCACCTTCTCTCGTTGTAACACCTTCATTCTCCACTATCCTCTCTATGTTCCAAATTTTACGAAAGCTGATGAGATAGTGGCAAGAGCAACACATGATCACTTCATTCAAACTTAATAAAGCACCATCGTTTTATAATACAGATCTATGGTGGAACTGGCTTATTAGACACATCTATTTTTTCTTTCTGAAGTGAAGAAATGATCTCAGGCTCAAGTAAGGGTATTTCCCTTGTGAAATAAGTAAAACTTAAGTGCTACATGTAACTGTAAAAATATTGCAATATATTGGAACCTAAGAAGAGCATGGAGTCGAGCCATTTCCTATAGCTCCCACCTATTAGCATCGGACGCTCGAATTAGAGGTGGGTTTTCCAATCTGATCCTAAGAGATATTCATAACTCCCCTTGGAAAACTACAATTAACCTCAAACTCCGCTCTCTTCTCAATTTGAATTGTAAAACTGTTCTTAAGTCAGAGTATATCAGCCCGGCGGCCCTACCTCCAATTAAAAAGAAACTACAGCAACTTGACTTCTCTAATACAGCTTCCTATGCAAGAGGGCCGTGTTCAGGCCTAGCCCTAGCTATTCCACCCCCTGAAGGGATCCCTCTATATTGCTTCACAATTTCTTCGGAGGCTAAGTGAAGGGCCTTTACCTGTGCCCGTCTCAACTGTTTTCCTACAGCAGTTCTGTCGGGTCGTTATTCCAGAGTTCCCATCGCAAATAGAACATGCTCCTGCAATGACACGGCCCTGGAGACTATGGAACATGTAATGCTCTTCTGTCCTAATTGGACAGATGAAAGATCTCGGTTTTTAACCCCTCTCGTGAACAAGCTTCATCTCCCAATCCAGCCTTGGATAGTGTCCCTTTTTTTGCAGGATTCTGATTGTTGGATTACCGAGATGACAGCTAACTTCCTGCTTAGTGTGATGAAGAGGAAAGCGGCACTAACTTCTTCCTTAACACCACAGCTGCACTCGATACGCCGCACAATCGAACGAAGTTCCAAGTAGCCTTATTGTACAAGGACAATGGAGTTAGGACAAATCTGAGGAGCTGAAGGACCCTTTAACGGTCCTCCTCCAGCCTCAGCAGTTTTTTGTTTTTGTGTGTGTGTGTGTTTTCTCTTTAAGTATTTGCCCAGGACGATATCTACCTTTACCTCCCACCCTCATTTTATGTTGTTATTTTAATGTATATCATGCTATGGCCACACGGCTAATGCAATAAAATTTATGTATGTAAGGGTATTTCCCTTGTGAAATAAATAAAACTTAAGTGCTACATGTAACTGTAAAAATATTGCAATATATTGGAACCTAAGAAGAGCCTGCTGGATCAGGCAAAGGCCCACCTAGTCCAGCATCCTCTTCTCACAGAGGCCAACCAGATGCCTGTGGGAAACCGGCAAGCAGGACTGGAGCACAAGAGTCTTCTCTGCCTTCCTGTGCTTTCCAGAAACTAGTATCAAGAAGCATTATTGCCTAGGACCGCGAGGGCAGAGCAGAGACATCAGTCTTATCCTTCTTTTTAAGCTATCCATATTGCTGGTTGTCACTGTCTCCTGTAGGATGGATTCCATCGATGAACTATGCTTCTGTTTATTCATCTTTTGCAGCCCTTAAAAGCTGATAAATGTATTATGGCTTAAGCTTTTGTGGGCTGCAGTCTGACAAAGTGAACTCTTGACTAGGAAAGCTGGTGCCTGTATAAACATCTGAGTCTCTTTGTTCGCTTTGTGTACTTATTTTGAAATTTGCACCAAGGTTGTACCACAGTATCTCCATGGAAGCTTAGGGACGGATAAAATTACAGGGTGTTATTCCGTGAATCTCAAGCCTCTCGTGCCTCCGCTGACAGAGTCTGAGAAGGCAAGAGATGTGATTCGGTTGGAATGTGAAGCAGGGGAGGAGCAGCCAAGCTGCACCAGAAGCAAAGAACAAAGAGCAGGAAGAGGGGGTGTCCGGGGGGGCACAGACCGTTAGCTCCAGTTTGAGCTCTGTGTCAGAGACCCCGGAAATAGCCTGCCCAAAAAATTATAGGCTCGAGAGAATCTGCGAGAAGAGGGGAAAGTGGGGCCTTCTTTGCTGGAGGACTTGGCAACTGCAAGCTGAGATGAACAGGCTGAAGACTGAGCTCCACAGTGATTTAAGAGTTTGAGCAATAAACCTGAGATAATTACTACTGGAGTTGTCTCCCGTCTCCTCTCCCCTGGAACTCACCAGATTTCTCCAAGGGTCCTGGGAGGGAATGCTCAGAGGTTGTGGGGAGGGATGCGGGAGACAGCCTGACCAGGTCAACCATCCATCTTCCTTCTTCCATCCTGGCCAGGGTTGCAGGTTCAGTTTCAGCTAGGTTTGCAGGTTCAACTTCCTGAGGAGCGTAGAATCCAGAGCAAGTTGCAACTTCCTGGGAGGGAGGGAAGAAGAAGCCAAGGGAGTCTGAGAGCCCCTGCAGGGATTCTCCTGCCCAAGACATTCTGCTGCCGCTGAAGAAGCCCCAATTGGGCACCCCCTTCCCAAAACCCTCCACCCATTTTCAAACACCTTTGGCAATTCCTTTCACCTGCCTGTCCCACCTCCCTTCCTAAGGCTGGCATGGTATGTACATTAGTGGCCTGAGAGTAGATCCCTTGGAACTTAAGAGTTAATCTGCAAATGACTGCTCTGAACACATGGGTGGCCGTGGCATGGAGAAGAAGGAAGCCCCTTGCTTGCATCAGGACCCCCTGGGAGAGGCGGTGGATCCACCCACTGCTCCCTCTGCCCTCGCTGCCTCCTCCTCTGTCCTCCTGCCCTGCAAACACACTTTGCTCTTTTTGCACAGGGGAGAGAGGCAGAAAGAGCCTTCAAACCCATCCGTTTCCTCCTCTGCATCCCAGTGAGAGGGGAAGGAGCTGCAGCGCCTGGGTTACTTCAGATACACACATGGTTTACTGGGATTGTGAATGAACACGTCCTCTGCCTTCCATGAGTGGGGTGGGTAAAAAGTGGTGAGGTGACCCCCCCCTCCAGTCCTTTTTGGAAACAGGAACTTTGACCAGGAGTACACAACTTATATGGCAAGTTCACAAGATAAGCACTTTGGAGCACTGCTTGCTCATACTGTGAGTGTTCTGTGTGTGTTTGGACCTAGAGGACAACATACACGTTTACACCACGTGATTTCTTAAAGAGGGCACTTCTTTAAAACCTATTTTTACTGCTATTCTTTTCAATTCTATACTGCCCTTCCTCCAAAGATCACAGGGCAGCTTACAATAGAAAAACACAGAGATGCATAGCAGAGTAAGAAATAAAAACAACAACCCTCCCCCCCAATCCAGTTGTGAAGTCCATAGATTGTTTATTGAGCCAAACCCCTGGGAGAAGAGCAATGCTTTCACTTGGTGCCTAAGGAAGGAAGGAAGCCGGACTGACGGAAACCAGCCGTCAACAGTGGTGCGCAGCATAGAAAAAACACAGAGACAGCGAGTATCTTCAGGGTGGAGGGCAGCTCACTTGAACGTTCCTCCTCTCCGGTATTTTTATTATCCTCTCCTTTCTCTAACATCCTACGTGGCCATCTGCCAATGTCCCACGTCACATCGTCCGATCATGGCTATACAACACTCATTACCATATATGGTATTACTGCCCAGCGGGAACACAACTCCATATAAGGTCAATACACTCAATACACTGCAAAGCACAGACATGCCGCGTCACCGAGGTCAGTGAGGCACCAGCGGCACTACAAGCCTCTGCCATGGCTTCATGGCTCCCACATGCCCTCTTTCTTTATTTTATTAATCAGAGTCATATATTTCATTACCAATACGTTTATATCGAGCACGATAGGCAGCCCTTGTAAGGCCTGAAGCAGGCCGTTGATGGGAGAACCATGCAGTACATACAGAGATTAAAGAAGGAATACATTGTATACAGCAACACAAAATAATGCAAATAACTACTATAAGGATCACTGAAAACAATAAATGTCAAAGCCAACTCCCATCCGGAAGCCAAGAATATAACAATGCCCATGGATCAACGGAAGGAGGGGGGCAAGCGGATTGTGAGCTACCATGGTTTCCATATGATCAATTGTCGCAGATATGCTGACATTATTATCAGGAATAAACATACAACAATGAGAATGAACAAGTGCACATACCCCTCCTTTTGAGGCCAAAATGACATCCAACACATAACGATTTTGTAATACCACCTCTCTCATTTCAGACACCTCCTGGTTGAGATTCATCAATGCTTTTATGGTATCATTGAATAATCCTTCAGTCCAATTTGCTAGCCGATGGAGGTCCCTATAGTTCATTGCTGCACCCACTGGGGGCAGCAAGGCTCGAGAAATTGATTTATTGGTGATATTGATTTATGGGTGAATTAACCTCCCGGCGATTTTGTAGTCTAAGAGAAGATGGTAACTTATCAACCTTATACAACAACGGGACCACGATACCCAATGTACATGTGCCTGTGAGGTTTTGAGGAATGGCTTTGTATGCTTTTTCGCCACAAAGCAACCATAACTCTCTTTGGAGTAAATAGCTGATATTACTACTCTGTTGGGACCAATTAAAGGCTGCAGTAAATAAAGAACTGATATGAAATTGCTCATCAGTGGCATTTGCTAAGCCAGGGATAGAAGAATTCAGACTCCAAGCCGCATGGTAGGCTTCCTTTCTAGTTTTTAGCCATGCACTGGTGTCACTCCTATAGCACTGAGATTGGTCACTGTATGTTCCTGTAAGAGAACAAGAGCTATTAAAAGTGAAATTCAATGTATATTGACAGTTTGGATATATGCCCCATGATTCTTCTCCCTCATCAATTTGAAAACAAATGGGGGCAGGCTCATGGAGGGTCAATTGTAGTGGAGGCCAAAAAGTTTGGTTAGGGGATATAACATTTGTAAATTGAAAAGATCCATTAACAGGCACACCATGAAGCATTAAGCCTGAACGATGGGCAAAAGGGGGCATATGCATACACAACCAACATTTAGAAGCATGTAATAAACTGGCAAATATAATCATATCTTGTACAAAAATATTATTCCTCCAAATCTTATGATAATTTTCTCCCCTAAAAGTCTTATTCAACAACGCTGTTCTTCTAGTTCGAGAGTGGCTGAGCCATGGATACTGCCAGCCAGAGTCATTCATACTTTTAGGCCAAGTGCCTCGGAACCAGATAGATTGTTCTGGTGGGCAATATGAGTGACTGTGGCAAATGATTCCTATGGCCACCTCCGAACAACCCTCATGATAATTTGAGGCTGCCCCATTCTCTTTTAGGAACATGTAACCCAATGTTGTTTGGCAGCCAGTGGCACAGATGCAACTTCCAACTTGTGTCAGATAGGCGATGTTGATGTCTTTGGAGCGGCGGTTGTACTTCAAAACTGCAGTCATGTTCCACTGCCACCCATATGTGGACACACAAATAGGCAGCGTGGCGTGTGGTGGCAATACCCAAGCAATGCCTGTGCGACGAGGACACCCTTCGTAGCTTGGCATATTTCCCAGGCAATTGGCTGCAAAACTGTATCCATAAGTGGTGGACCATGCATAGGTGGGTTTGCCTAACTTATATGGTGTGGCGTGGCCAGGTAACGCGGCAGGAAACACTGGTACCGCTGCAGATGGCACAGGTAACCAGGGCACCTGAATGGGGCGATGACGGTAGGTGCAATCAGAGAATTCTGATGGCAGCGGCTTGCCAGCTGATAAGGTGAAATATGGTGGTTTCAACTGGACTGGGTCGTCTGCTTCTCTTGTATAACGGTGCAGCAAAGGATGGTGAGGCAGATGGTGAGGAAGGCACTTCCGCAGTTGAAGGGACTTGCCATGGCCGTACGCATCGAGCTGGAACCCACAAGGGCTTGTCCTCGACGTCCACTGCCATGTCCCCTCGTCCCCACGTGATCAGCGGAACAGGTCCATGCCACGCGGGGTCAGGCAAGCATCGGTACACCACCAAGGGGCGGGGGAGTGCCTCCTGCTTCCTAAAATGCAATTCAGCGGGGGTATGGCTCCTATTATGTGGATATAAAAGATGGTTAAGTACAAAAAGAACTTGGTGGACTGCCGAAGGGATATCTGCTGTTGGTATGCTTCGGCCGCCAAGCTGCTTAATCAACAGTGTTTTGAACGTCAGGTGCGCTCTTTCCACTATAGCTTGTCCTGTGGAGTTAAAGGGTATACCATGAGTTTATTTCACATTCCACAACATACAAAATTCAGAAAATGTTTTAGAAATATATGCCAGACCATTATCAGTTTTGATGCGTGCAGGTTTACCCATGACTGAGAAACAGCGAATAGTGTGCTGGATCACATGACGAGCTGTTTTCCCCCTCATGGGCGTAGCCCATATGAATCCAGAGTGGGTGTCCACCGTGAGGTGAACCTTGGAGAGTGGAGCCAACACAGGTGTGCGTGTGACATCCATCTGCCAACACGCCAATGCAGACGTGCCCCTAGGATTGACAGCATCAAAAGGAACGGCCAGCGGTGATTTAGAACAAGAAGCACATTGGGAAACAATATCCCTTGCTTGGGCCAAAGGAATAGAAAACTGCTTTGCCAATGCTTTCGCAGGGAGGTAAAAGGTGTTATGACATAGTACAGGATCAGAAAAGAGAGAAAAGGCAGAAATGTCCCTCAACACTGCATCTGCTCTTGCATTGCCCTCTGCTAAATACCCTGGGTGTGATGTGTGGGAGCGAAGATGTGCAACATAATAAGGGAACTCTCTGTGCTGAAGTAAGGCTTGCAGGGCAAGAAACAAAGAAAACAAGTCAGAATCCAAGGAAAGAGTTACATAAGATATTGGTAAAACAGCAAAAAGGTGATATACATACTGAGTATCCACAATGAGATTGAAAGGTTGAGTAGAAAAGGATTGAAAGGCAAGAATCACAGCTGCTAGCTCAGCTCGCTGAGCAGAAGACTGTGGAGGGGTAAATAAACATTTCCATTTTCCTCCCTCCTCCCACGTCACCCCCCCCACTTTTTGTACCATCCGTGAAGAGGGTCACTGCAGAGGGAAGAGGTGTGAGAGACAAGGGGGTGGCCAAAACATAGGTGACTTGTGTCAGAAAAGTCAAACGGTCATCCTTCGGAGGGTTGAAAATGATGACACCTACAAAATCAGCCAAGGCGATTTGCACGGCAGCATTAGTTATCAATAAGTGCTGCTGTTCAGTCTGTGAGAAAGGCAAATAAATTGATGCAAAATCAAAACCGCTCAAGGC